ATTTGAACGCTTTGCGCGCTGCAACTACGGCAGCATCGAGATCTTCTTTCCTGGCTACTGGCACTTCGTAGAGCGGTTGGCCGGTGGCTGGATTGATGGAATGTCGCGTCTCAGGAGCTGGGATGAGCTCGTTGTTAATGATGTTGCCTGGGTAGGCTTTGGTGTCGAGTTTAGAAGCCATCTCGAGTTAATCGATCTTTGATATCTTTCAAAATATGGATCGAACTATGGGACTGCGCATCCCAACGGCACAGTTATACGCATAGCTACGGCCAAGTACTGATGACTGCATCAGAAGTGGGGTTGACATCGTACAGACGCGGGGTAAGCCTTGCAATACGAGCTGTCTTCCTTCGCACATGCTCGGCGACTATCTGATTCGTAAAGTCTATATTGTGCTTGCTTGGTGTTGAGGCCCGTCGCGGTTCCTTGGGAACGATGACGCAGTGGGCCAGTGGTGCACGGATCCAACCTTCGATCGCGGGGACGCGACGCGTCTTCAACCACGCTCCAACACCACTTCATCACCAAGGCCATCCTGCGGCACCACTCGTCGCTACGTTAGGCAACGCGCAAGGAGATGCCAGGCTCAACTTCACCGCCATGAAGATCTTGTGCGAGCCAGATGTCGGCTGAGGCATGCTTTCCCCGCCAAGCATCATGAAACGGCTATCAAACTCATCCTCTCCCGCACGACTCGACAAGACCCCTACCTCGTTCTAAGATCGCCCAGCTGAGCCCAGCCGTCACTCGTTCTCTAGGGCCTGTCGGTTTCAATTAAGCTCATTGTCACCCCGCTTAAGCCTCTTCGAACAGGGCACAGAAGCTCGTACAAGCATCATCAAACCGCCGCAAGGTCGAACGCCAAGATGCATCTGTCACGATTGCTGAAACTGAGCTCCCCGTATTACCCGGGCTGGAAAGTAGAGATATAATGGCGATAAAGTCCACAGTAAGGCGACAATGAATGGAACCTGACTATCTACTCAAAATGCCTTTCATGCACTCAAAAGGTGCTACTACGCTTGGACACACGTTCCGGTGAGTACCGTTATAAACATTCAGATTTCCCAAGCTGAACCGCTAACCAGAGGCAGAAACTTTGATCAGACGATCATCACAGTAAAAGTCGGCGGAAAAGAGTACGCCGAGTCTTTCAGCTGCCATCGTGAACTCCTCCGACGATGCTCCCCATACTTCAACACATGCTTAGAAGAGAAGAGCAACTCGCCCTACGAAAAGTCGGGAACTACGCTAGACCTCGACGACACAACCCCTGATGTATTTGACGCGTTCATGCTATGGTTATACACAGGCTTCATACCGCACCATCTTATCGAGGGGGGGAAGGAGGTCCACCCTCCGACTCATGCAGTCAGTGTCAATGGCGGCGACAGCTCGAGCACCACCGGTCAGGAGGAGGGTGATGATGTGGATACTGCCTCATGGGGCATCGCTCTAGAGACCGACGACACGGAAGCAGAAGCAACACCGACCAACGCTGCTGCAGCTAGCAGCCCTGCACCCAGTGCGGAGAAAGTCCCTGGCGATGCTGAACCCGAAAAGGCTGCTATAGTACCACCTCCACGAAACCCAGCCGAGAAGCCAGAGATTCCCAAAGAGACGCTGTGCCCATGCTGCTCAAGACCATACAAGTGGAGAGGGCTCGAAGGCTTCCTAGAGCGCCGATTCATATCACTATACGTCTTCGCACACCGCTACGCCATCCCGAAGCTACGTCGCGCAGTCAATCCTAGATGGCAAACGAACGACGAGATCCTACAAGTGATGCCCGATCACAGCAACGTGATCGCCGCCTACGAGAGCCTGCCACCAGACGCACCGCTGTGCCGATACTTCCTCGATATGTACTCTGTGTACTGGAACCCCGATCGCGACGATGAGCGCACCATAGCTTTGCGGAGTCAGCTTCCGCAAGCGTTCCTTTTCGAATTGGTAACAATGTTGGCGAGGGGCGAGAGGCCAAAGATGGAGAAGGAATGGTGCGAGTTCCATGAGCACGAGAGCGAAGAGGAAAAGAAAGCTTGCTTGGATGACTTGGCCAAGGACCCTGTTGCGAGCAAAGCACTCAGGCGCATCAAGGATAGCAAGGGCTGGAAGGGGCTGGTGCTCAAGAAGGGAAAGAGATGATATGATGACAACCCGTTGCACACGCATCATGGCATGGCGTTCTGGAGTCGCATAACACTGGTATATCCCGGTTACACAATTAGCAACACACTTTTCTGTCTCATTCCGCACTTTCACATGAGCGAGCAATCTTCACGGGATGTGCTTCATCCTAAGCCACTAGTGTTTCGTGTTACGGCTTCATCAGCAAGCTGAGGAATGCGGGGAAGCAATACGAGATCTCCTGACCACGAGAGGACATATCATCAGATGTTCAACTCAGCCATCTTTGCTATATTTACCCGATAGCATCTTTATAGCAGTCGGTTGTCGGCAGCGCTAGATGATGCGGAGAAAGCCTTTGAGTCGCTGCTTTTATTTGCGTGTATGGATTGTTTCTTGGGGACTAGGGATTGTCTTGCAGTACGAGATCAAGAGGTCTTGTAAGACTATGATAGCCCAGAATTACGTGTCAATACCATGTTAGCTGAGAAGACTTCGTACTGGTTTGGTCATGAGCGTCGGTGCTCGAACGCTGATACGGAATGCATGTCTTGGTGGTGATCCAATGGCGCGAGTGGGATACGATGCTGAAGTAGAACCCACACAGCTGCGATAGAGCATCTCGAGTATAAGAACACCCTGTCACTCCGCTCATGATTCATCTTCTGCATAAAGCAAAGCAATCCAGTACAACAATTCTCACCTCGATCGTCTAACTATTCATCAAACTTGCGCTACCCCCTCTCAGGATCTCATCATGAGGACATTCACCATCGCCATGATCTCTTCCCTCCTCGGCCTCACCGCCGCTCTCTCTCCACCCTACGAACCCCCTTGCGACACATGCGTCCCCACCCCCGACAAGAACAAGTGCGACATCACTACATCATGCACCTACGTTTGGGGCCACAACAACCCTCATACACCCGACCAAATTACTGCGCCTGCCGCCATGGTTACCGTACGTCTCCCCCCACTTCCCTCCTTTAAACCGCCATCCTCCCATCGATAGGTCTCCTAACACATCCAACAGGTGCGACAGGCTACGACGCCAACGATCTCGAGGTCCAATGGCGACTGCCATGGTATGGTACACCGAACGGTGACCCGAGCCAGGAGGGTAGGGTGTTTGTGAAGCCGGGTGTTGAATGTAATACGCTTTGTGATGATTGGTATCTTGGGAAGGATGGGTGTAAGGCTGTGCAGGTGAAGAAGTGGTGTATGTAGGAGAGAATGGTAGTGGCTACCAGAAGAACGAGATGTATTCTAATGTGTATCTTTCTTGTTCTTACGGTTTGAACACATGATGCCTCTCTCTCATACCGCTGTTCATACTTCACTCACGCTAGAGTCGCTCTTCGTTCTGAGCGACTATAAATCGTTCCAACTGAGGTGTCTTCTCGGCGTCTTCTTGCTTCTTCGCCTCAGTGATAGCCATACAAGACGCTCTCTCTAGCAAATTTTGAAGACGGGCGATCAAGTTCATATTTGAAAATGCCAATGCCGTAAAGAATAGGGTAACTCTTGGAGACTTTGTTCCATCTTCGCGATCGACGGTGCGGGAAACGTCCATCTAGTATTCCACATAGATCCATACGTTTATCCAAATCTCGATTCCTCTGGAGCTTTTGTGCCTCCACCTCAGCTATCCTAGGCGAAAAGAGTCCAAGCCTACCAGCACGCTTTCTTTTGGAGATGAGTCGCACTCGTTTGAAGCTTCTCACGTCCTCTTCCTCGCGCTCAGCAAGCTCATAAAAAGTCCGTTCTTGACTACCGACGTCCGTGGCTTCTGATCGCAAGATGGGCTCTCGAGTATGTTGATCTTCTTGTAGCGGGGATTCGTCATCCTGAATCACGGTGATCCTCCGGAACCGGATCTGACAATTTGTGCATTCTATCTCAGCATCGCTGGAATTCTTCGATTGAGTCAAGCAACCTGGACAGGTAGTGCTACTGATCTCGCTAGCATCATCCTGACTGAAGATGATGCTCATGTCAATTCGCTGACCGGGTATAAACGCAGCGTGCCATGGACGCGACAACTCGATCTCTCTTCCCGTACCGCTGGCTTGTAAGGCGTATTGCCTTTGTCCAATCTTAATCTGGCCTGGCATGTCCTGGAAACGCAGCTCAAGTACAGAGTGGAAAGCATCCCAAGAGGTGATGAATTGCAAATGGACAGGCGCAATACGACCCATGGGATCGTCCAGTATTATCGGCTCTTCGAACATGCTTCGCTCTAGGCTGCTGGGGAGTGAAGTCTGCAGACGCATAACAGCACGGTAAGTCGCAAAGTTGATCGTCATCGCGCCCCGTATCATGCCTTTGAGCTCAGAACCAAGCTGTCGGAGCCAATCCAACTTGAGTGCTTCGGATAAATTCCCCAATACTGAGTTCGCAGCTTCGATATTACGGTTAGCATTCTCGATGCCGTCTTTAATTTCGATGAGTGATGCATCGTTCGACAGCGTGACGGTGTCGCTCCTGCGCTTTGCTTCGTCAAGCTTGTCGTTCATCTCTTTCCGACTCACTCCAAGTAACGTGCTATACGGTCTCAACATCAACTCTGCCCAGGAATATTGTACCACTTACACATTTGCCGTGATCAACAACATCTGGAGGCTTGATGTAGTCCCCGCGATCTCTGCGCGAAACTGCTCCAGCGCTTCCTTCTCTCCAGTCCTCCAACCAATCGCTCTTCCAATCTCTCTGACCCTGTTCACTTTGCCGACTTCAAAAGTGCGCTGGTATCCCTGGATGCGCTTCTTGTAGGCGCTGACGCGGTCATTGCATCTAGCTACGGCTTGCTTCGCTGTTTCGCAGAGACTTCGTAACTCAGGCGTAGCCCCATCCCCATGCTGTCTAGTAAGCAGATCAATTTCGAGGAGCGTGCGGTCGAGAGTCCAAAGCTCGCGTACGGCGGCCTGATACTCGGCTTTGGAGCCACGAGCCTCGTCGAGCGCTGCGACTAGATCTTTCACAAGCAAAACGACGGAGATGATGTCGCCTACGGCACCGAACGTGACCGGCATAACAAAAGAACAACGGAATTTCTGGGGAACGTAACAATGATGTTATAATGAAAGTGGTCTTCATATGAAGTTGTACCTGACCCCGCCTGAGGGAGGCTGCACAAGATGGCTGAGTCGCTAAGCCTCCACGAGGTCCAACCAGTAACATGTCACACATACCACGCCACTTCATATCGCGACTGCCTGCCAATGCGGCACAGTTTGCCAAGACTGCATCTCTCTAGTTCGACCTCACCTCACTCTGAGACGGATAACCACTCTCAGTATCCGACTTCTTCTCATCTGTACGCACCTTGAAGCGATCGGTCTTTTCATCAGCCCAGTGTGGGCGCGCATCGAACGCGAACTGCAGAATCTCTGGACGCTGGTAGTGGCCCGCCGCATCGATCCATACCTTCACCGATCCCATGTGAGAGAAGTCAATCTCGCCCTGCACCAACTTCTCTTCTCCGCCCGTGTGCGGACCAGCGATGTACGAGCAGAACGGATGAATGACAGAGGACCAGCCGCCGCCAGCCTTGACGAGATCCTGCTTTCCGAGGTTCTCTTCCATCCAGTCGAGGCACTGTTGATCGACGTAGTTGGAAGCAGTGATGACGAAGACTTGGGCAGTCAAGGCATGCGCCTTCATCAACGCCTCGATCTGCGCGTCGGCAACGGCTTCGAAACCGGCCATAGTGGATAAGGCCGGCCAAGCTCCCGCATGAATGTGTTGGTTCTGTGTGATGAGGGCCTGACGTGCGCCGTTCATGGTATGTTCCCAACACGCGAGTCCTCCGAGGTTGTACCCGAGCGACAACGGCCAATTGCGCAACGTGCTTCCGTTGCCCTGAGCCCACACCATGCGCTCGACATAGGTTGGCTGGAGCTTGCGATGAACACCGAGTATAGTGCCGTCGCTATCGATAATAACTTGCGAGTTAAACAGTGTATGGCCGTTGGCGACACGTTCGCACACGCCCAGATTGATGGCTACACCGGTCCTGCGACAGGCATCTTGGATGGCACTCACATCCTCCCCATTTGGCTCCACCACGACGCTCTCTTCGGCATATTTTGCCAAAGCAGCGACCTGCTTTAGGGGTGGGTAACATTCAATCCAGTACTGTGGTAATATCAGCATTAGCCCCATCATACAAAGTTTGAGATTAACAGCCGATGCACTTACAGGATAGCCAGGAATGAAGGTCTCGGGGAACACCAAGAGCTTGATATCATCTTTCGCAGCTTGTTCGATGAGGCGGACAGTCTTCTTGGTGGTGGCGGCTTTGTCCATGAAGACAGGCGCAGCGTGGGCGGCAGCCACCCTGAACTTGGTTTCCTTGGGCGCCATCGTGTTGCAGTGCGATGATGGGGATTCCTAATCGATGGATTGAGTCAGGACTGACAGGCTGGTGAAACTGCGGAGAAGAGAGCTGTCGTGGACCCAGATTTCTTTGCTACCCGCCAAGATCGCGGCTTCCGGTACGGTCACCGTACGGCAACCGCTGCGGCACGTCGTTATCTCCCGTGTCGTTAAAAGGTCCGATTGCTCAATTGCCAGCCTTTCCCGGGTTGCCAAACAATGCAACTCCACACGGGGATCGTTTATCATAGGCTAGTGCGCATCAGGTACCCGGCTGGTCACACACGCGTTCTCGCAGCCATGTGAGCCTGAACAAACGCGGCTAGCGTCGACTCCAATCCTCACCGAAACCGGCACTCCCCCCGAGAACACTGGCATTCACTCGTTGCACAATCGGTGCGATTACGATGGAAACTAATCCGAGTGGATCTAGGGTTGCACGGCCTTATGGGTTCACTGCAATAGATGCATTTCGTGACACAAAAAACCGCCGAGTGAATGAGGGTGCAAAACTCAACGCCTGCACGGCGATAATACAGCTTGATCCTCTGCGTCAAATAACGTTGTACCATTCTCTGACACTTCGCAACTCACCCTGCGTGATCCCGACGACAACCGGCTCTTGACATGGCGTTCGATTACTTTGCAAACCCCCCTCCTGGACTGGACTTGACCGAATCCCGCACTGCCTCTAACAACGCTATCGGCGTTGTACTTTTCGTCCTCTCTCTCGTTTTCGTGAGCTTGCGCCTCTACACTCGCTTGCACGTAAAGCGTGAGCCACTTGGTTTAGATGATTACCTTATGTTCCTCGGTTTGGCGCTGAATGCAGGCAACTTAGCATGCTGCATTGCAGGTAGAGCAATCGATCACGCAAAATTGACTACAGATGCTAACGTCCAGTCAGGCGGCTTCTACGGCCTTGGAAAGCACATATGGTCCTTGGGACCGTACGAGATGCGACAGATTACGATAGTGCGTTGTGACTCGCAGAACCACGCAAATATCGCAGCGCTGACCACAGTTAGATTACATTCGCATATGTCTTCATCTACGCATGGAGTGTATGCATCATTAAGTTCTCAATTCTGGCGCTATATCGTCGCATATTCGGCCTCTCATACTTTGGCTATTTCTGCATCGCTCTCACTACAGGTTATCTCATCACCAACCATGTGGTCCTACCGCTCTACACGCGACCACTGCACTATTACTGGAACCAGTGGTATGGAGATAAAGGCGTAGTCCAGGTAGACGAAGCAAAGGTGGGAATACTCCAAGACCGAGCTCCAAACAGCGACTGACCAACATATAGTTCTATCTCGGTGTCGGCATCATCAACCTTTTGGCGATGTGTGCATCCTTACGATACCCATAGCGAGCGTACTTAAGCTCCACATGGGACGTACCCAGAAGGTGGCAGTCTGTCTCACGTTCCTACTCGGTAGCTTGTACGTCACAGTCCAACATCAGTCCCTTCGACGAAATTTCGCTAATAGGTGCAGCGTCTGTTTTGCTTCGCTTTACCGCATCATCACCATCACCCACCTCGTCCAGTCGAAAGACATCAGCTGGGCAAAGAGCGACGTTTTCATCTGGTCCTCCGTAGAGCCTTCCATCGGTATCATTTCTGGATGCCTACCCACCCTGCGACCGCTCATGATGCAAATCATCAACGCACTCACGACTCGCCTGCCATCCTCCTTTAAATCATCGCAGCACTCCGAATCACCCAGCAATTCGCTAAACCCTCTCGAAACGATATCCAAGAAGCGCACGCGCAGGATCAACCTCAAGGATACGTTGGGAGACACGGTTAACAATGGTACTCGGAGCCATTGGGGCAAGTCTCGAATGGATGAAGACGAAATGTGTCTCACGACAACGACTGTGCATGGGGAGTGCCCGGGCACTGCCATGTGCAAAGAAGGCAGTGTGACCACAAGCGAGCTCTCACAGAGTGTGAGAAGGGAAAGAGGGATTACTATGACGAAAGAATTCGCATGGGATGAAGGGACGCACGACCAAGGTCCGGACAACAAGGTCTAGACAAGTAGTAAAGCAACCGCGCACTCCACTCGACTTTTGATCGTATCCGCCCCAGGCAAGGGAAACAGAATTTGGACCAACGTGAATACCCCACCAACGCTCATCTTTAGGTAACCTTGGAAAAGCAAATTGATGCAATACCCCTTACGGAGCCTTTATACCATCCCACCATCGGCAAAATTGGTTGCCGTCCGAAACATGTTGCGTACTAGAATGCGACGCGTCGCGGTCTCTGTAAGGCCGCTAACACTGCCAACGGGTTGGGTAGCGAAAATGGCGGCAGCCTGTACTATACTGGGCGTACGGTCGACCTATCGCATGCGCTAGAGTGTCTGACAAACTCGGGGTAGGTGGTGAGACGGAAACGGCTTGCAAAGGAACGCGACGAATGCGACGGGACGGGACGCGTAGCTGCACATGGGACGTGCTAGCGTGGCCGATCTACAAGCAAGTGCGACCGGGCGATACCATGGCAAATCGTGTAATCCATTCTCTACCTTACTCTGAATGTTCAACTCTAAAAGTATTAGCATGAGTAATAACAGGCGATATCTTTCGTCTTGAAAACATGTGTCTGCAGCCATGTTCAGTGTGTGGCCGAATACGGTATAGCGTTTTTGCACTCTTGACGATCATCCCGGCGTTTTGCACGATGCGGCCATACATCTTCCCGGCGGAGATACCTGTCGCACCACCACCACCTTGAAGAAGCGCCACAAGCCTGACTTTTCGTCCGAGTTGAAAGCTGACGATGATATGCCTTGCATATAAGAGTCGCTGTGCATCTGCCGCAACTGAGATGTCGATATCAACGCACCTATTAGCTGAAGGTTCAACATGCAGGGCTTCAAAGACTTCGACCCTGCAAAGGACATTCGAGACCTTGCCGGGAAAGTGATTTTGGTTACTGGAGGTATGTAAACTTATTTCCCGACGCTGGTATCCTTCTTACAGTCGAATTAGGCACCGCGGGATTGGGAGAAGAGAGTGTGCGAGCGCTTTCGGCGCACAATCCATTACACATCTACTTCACAGGCCGTAATGTCGCTGCAGCAAATACACTGATCGCCGAAATCAAATCCAAGGACCCAAATGCATCATTGAGCTTCATCAAGATGGATCTTTCGTCCCTTCGCGCAGTCAAAGAGGCCATCGCTCGGGAGTTCAAACATGACCGCCTCGACATACTGATGAACAACGCCGGTATTATTGCCAAGCCAGCAGTCTTGAGTACTGATGGCTATGAGATCCAATTCGCGACGAACCATCTCGGCCATGCGATGCTCACCAGAGAGCTAATGCCCATCCTGCTCAAAACAGCCAAAGAGCCCGATGCTGACGTTCGTATCATCAGCAACACTTCCGCTGGTTACGAATTCCATCGCGCCATCAAAGGTGGTATTTCCTTTGATGAGCTTGACGCTGGAAGCACCATGTCTCGAATGATGCTAGGCGCATGGATCCGCTATGGACAGTCCAAACTCGCAAATATCCTCTTCGCAGCGGAGCTCGCACGTCGTCATCCCGAGCTGACGTCTGTGGCGATCCATCCTGGACTTGTCAAGACGTCCATGAATACCGAGATGGCCGGCTGGAGTAAGACGTTCGTCAACGTAACGTCGCGCATATCGGGCGAGAAGTGGCTTGAGCCGCATGAAGGCGTTTTGAATCAGCTTTGGTGTGCGGCCGGAGCGCAGAAAGGAGCATTGCGGAATGGAGGATATTACACGCCGGGGGGCGTAGACTCAACGGAGAAATTGACGGCGGAGGCTAGAGACGAAGCTCTATCGGGAAGGTTGTGGCAGTGGACGGAACACAGGCTCCTAAAATTTTAAAACTGCGGTTCAGTGCATCTTTAGCACTATGGGGATATGGGGCATGGTTTCCTTCCCAGGATCTGATCAGTGCGGCCTTCCCGTCTCCATCGACGGTAATGACTATCTCGTCAAACTTTGTAGCCCACGATCTATGCTCCATGACGTCCAGTTCCAACGTGGTGACCGGTAAGTCTGAAATTTTGAAGAAGGCGATTCGATAGGTTAGTAGCCTTAGAGCTAGGCCCTCTTTGTTCATGGCATCCTCTGGGCTCATCCTAGGGTGCATTTGCCGTATGTAATTCGCCCTCCACCCAAGCCAGTCTAACTTCACAGTACTTATGTGCGGAGCGTGCTCAGATACAGTAGGCGTATGGAGGTTCAGCTTTACGATCCTTATCCGGTGGCCTGGACAACATACGCTCGCTACGTATTCTAGGAGACTGGCAAAGCTAGCTTGTTCGAGAAGAATGTCGTGAAGCCGCTTCAAGTAGAGAGCCGGTCTATTTCTGGTTTCGCGCACGTTTATGGAGATGAAATCGATCGGCTCCTTGCTTCGAGCTGGACAGCAGGTCCATGTGGGCCAGAGCTCTTTGTGGTTAACCATCATGACGTCAAGAGAGTACGCCATCGGCAGGCGACGGAGACAAGCTGTGGTCTCCTGGTATATTTGCCTGTTCGCGAGGAGCAGTCCATAAGTAGCATATTGCTCGGAAGGTGGCAAGATAGGTAGTCGCAAGCAGTTCGAGCCTACTGAGGCCTTGCGAGGGGTGTCATCTAATGCAGGACATGTTGGAGGCTCGACGTGCGCACTGATGACGAATTCGAGGATCATGTCACGAAGTTCGCGTGGTAGAGATAGAAGATGGCTAGACATGATGAGATGGACTGCGTGACGGATAGGTACGAAGGGAGAAGAGCCGGTCCTGGGGTTACGCGCAGGGGATTGAGCTAATCGAAGACGCTAAGCTGTATCAATGTAAGCTTCGGCAAGACCCCTGCAGGGCTGTTGTTCGCAGCTGCCCGTCTTCACTCACTCACTTTCGCTGCAGAACACGAGAAGTCATCAGCACCTTCCACTTGACATTGCTGCCTGGGAGCTTGTACGAATATGATGTCGTCAACGGGGAATTCGTTCATCACGCTCGTCGAGGCCGTCGAGTTGATGTCTTTCACTCTCATCATTCACCTCGACACTACTAAACAATTCGTGTGATCCTGTTTCGGGCGTTGCTCTGTCCAAGGGTTCCGTGTACTTACAGCCCTGCGATAGCTGACAGCCGACAGTCGCACCTGCACGCTCATCACTAGCGATTAGCTGCCACGGTGACCTGACAGCGTACGCCATCATGTCTCGTCTGGAAGTGCTGCCGCAGCATATCCTTCGCGACACCCTCCGCTACCTGCTACTTTTTGATCGCGTTCGTGGGCCACCTAACCGCTATCTCGTCGAAGATTATGACTTCCAGGTCGCTGTCCTTCGCACTAACAAGGCTATCAATCAGGAAGCTACCAACATCTTCTACGGGGACAACAAGTGGATCAAACTTCACAATGGCTATGGTACGATGATTGAAACAGCTCTGATCAATCACGAAGCACCTTACTTCAAGTTGAAGATAGAGAAGTTCGGCAAGCATGTTGCTGAAGTCAATGTCAATCCCAGCCTCCACCGGAAGTCGATGTATGGTGGAAAGACGATAGTGGGAGTGCTGCTATTGCAAGACATGTCCAAGTTCGCTCGCGTTCTACGAATCCTGGACTTCGCCAACTTCATGGATTACGACTTCAAGTTCGCACTACACAAGCCGCCTGGTACCGTCAGCACTCTGAGCAGGGAGGATCAAGAGAGGTTGATCTTACCTATGGAGAAAGGTAAGTTCTGACACGGCGAATTGTATATAAGACATTTGCTAATCTTGCTCATCGTTCATCACAGTCAGCGGTGTAGCTTGCCGACAGCAGGTCGCCTTCACCACCTCGTTTGATGCTGTCCTTGTTGAACGCGCCAAGCAGACAATGACCCAGGGAGTTACATGGCTACGAGCTACTGCCGCCGAAGTTCACGATATCGCCCTCTCCATCAAATGCATGGGCGACATGGCATTCAACATAGGGAACGGAGACATGGCATTCGCAAAGTGGGGCGATACACTCAAGTTCATCGAGATCACACTGGAGCACAACAAGATGATGAGTACACGTCTGGAACCCGATTTCCTAGCTCAACTTCATGCGCTTGAATGCATGGTCTCACTTGAACAAGCGATGTTCTTCTTCTCTGACATGGCCGTTGACGAAATTGGTCGCAAGTACGACCATGTACCGAAGAAGGTGGGTTATGCTGAGGACGCCAAACAGTACAACGAGCTCCTGGGGTATGAGGCAGTTCCCTTGTCTGCTATCGCTCGCTTCTACCGTTTCTTGGGTGTCGCTGAACTGGGTCTGGATCATCCTGTCAAAGCAGCAAAGGCATTTGCCAAGTCCTACAAGATGGTGACTCTCCCGCCAACTCAGAACGGCTACAACACTGCGAGATCATGGAAAGAGCTCACTAAGGCTCAGCGCAAGTCTAGGCTAGACGCTCTCTACACTGCCCTTCCCAAGACGCCCCACACGATGCCAGTGTTTCAAGCCTGGAAGGGTCCTCAAGTCCAGTCAGAACATTGGGTCATGCGCGAACTGGGCTTTAAGGGTAACATACCTTACGCCGACAAGATCACTGGTGTACTTGGAATATACTTGACCAACAAAGCTCACCCCAATCGTTCGCTTCCAGGACCACGTACGACCCAGCTCGGGGCCGTGAAGCCTGAAGTACTAAGGAAGGTTGTCGAAGACCATCGTGAGCAAGTGAACAAGCCTGATTTACCAGGCATCGAGCTGCTCATTATGTGGATTGCCCTTGGAACGCATCAGATCGGTGAAGAGAGTACCCACGATGATCCGGAGGCTGCAAAGATGCTGGAGAACATGTCTCTTCGTGGCACTGGAGGTTGTCCGACTCAGTGAATGACGGTTCAGTCATGTGTGTGGCTCTATGTACGCGTACAGTCAATGTGATCAGGATCTGAGATACCGTGGTGAAAGAGGCTGTTATGTTCGGCGCATGAGCTATTGTGTCTACAGACACACTCTCCTTCACTTCCACCATAGCATAATGCTATCGTCTAGATATCCAAATGAGATCTTCGAATCTGACCAACACCTTGCTACTTCTCCAAACCACTGACCTACTACAAACACGTCTACTGCCATCATGACATCTACATCCTCGAAGCGTAGAGCAGACAACGAGCTGGCCTCATCACCACCAGTCAAGCGATCGCGCACCGAGAAGCCGACATTACCATCCGCATCTCCGCCGCAACCCTCGTCACCAAGGCGAAGGACTCCCCGCCCAGCTATCCGCCAACCCTCTACCTCCCCAACACCCTCGGTATCCGCCTCGCTGGACGAGGCAACCACCAGTGCAGAGATGGACCCCCTCCTCCACCGCGTAAAATCCTGCATCAACTACACCGTCACCCACTACCATCTCAACACCACCCCAGCGCAAACAACGCGCTTCTCCATTCCAGCCAACGCCAGAAAGCCCACTACGCTCGTCGCCCTGAACCTTCTCCGCACCCACGCCACACTCGTAGCTTCATCACCCCTCTTCGAGATCTAATGAATTCGGCGTCCTGCGACCGGATTGGGTGAAGCAAGGGGGTTGGTTGGGGATTCATGATCCGCAGTGGTGGGTGGGAAGGAGTGTTGCGGAGGTGAAAGCGGGAGGAGGAAGGGAGCGAGCAAGGGAGTGAGCAAGGGGGAGAAGGAGAGGGATGAGAAGTTGAGGGGGGGTTGAGGAGGAAGAGGGCGGGGTTGAGTATGTGTGATTAGATGGATGCAGACTACTGATGCAGAAGAACATGTGAAAAGATAGAAGACGTCAGATGAGAGAAGAGGTTTCGGAGTTCAAGATCAAAGGTAGATTGAATACCTCACCAAAGCGAAGAGCGTTTCAAAGTTAAGAATTAAAGAAGACATCACATGAAAGAAGAGCATTCGAAATTCAAGATTAAAGTAGTAGTTTATGCTATAGTATAAACTAAAGAGGTATCATTCTCCAGCCCGGGCATCTATCCATTCCGTGTCTTTAGTAATATGCTATACTGTACTGTATAGCTAAAACCAAACATTACATCATTCAAAGTGACTCATTCGTGTCATCAAGACGTGAACAAAACACTACACCGTTTCTCCATCTAGTGGACGGAAGCAGTGCGGTGGTTCTTCTCAGTGTCAACGACAATGGAACCGTTGCGCTCGATCATGGTAGAGCCACCCTTCTGGAGGGAGCTCTCGACGAAAGTGTGGGTAGGGCGCCACTTGGCAGAGGTCCTGGGAGTGGTCTCGGCCATCATCTGGTCGACCTGCTCGAGAGACAGACCCTTGGTCTCGGGAACCAAGAAGTAGGTGTAGACGAAAGCAATAGTGCAGAGACCTCCCCAGATGAAGAAGACGGACGACTTGAGGTTACCCTTGTCGGTACCGACCATGTAGGGGGTGATGACGGCGATGATGGTGTTCCAGAGCCAGTTGGAGGCGGTGGAGAGGGCAACACCACGCGAGCGGATGGGCAGAGGGAAGACCTCACCGATGAGGACCCAGGCACCAGGACCCCAGGTGGTGGCGAAGAAGAAGATGAAGATGGCGATGAACGCGATCTGGGCGTTGACGGCGGAGATGTTGTTGGCGCGGGTGGTGCCGTCGGCGAGGGTGGTGGAGTTGTTGAATCCCTGAGTGACACCAATGATGGCAACCAAGAACTGGCAGATCAACATACCGAGAGCACCAAAGAGGAGAAGTGTGCGGCGACCGAACTTCTCCATTCCGTAGAAGGAAAGAGGGGTGGAGCAGACGTTGACCAGGGTGAAGACGAGGGAGATCAAGAAGGTGTTGCTGATGGCGCCAGTCGACTCCAAGAAGGGAGTGGAATAGTAGAAGATGAAGTTGACACCAGTCCACTGTTGCATCATCTGGAGCGAGGTACCAAGGATAGTCTTGCGAAGGTTGGAGTTGGACTGGAAGAGAGAACCCTTGAAGCAGTTGGCCCAGCCAGAGATCCAGCCACCGGCGGGGATAAGCTCGCGCTCGTACTCCTCGTTGGCAATGATCTCAGCAAGCTCGAATTCGACCATGGACCTGAGCTCAGCAGCCTGGGGGTCGGTAGGGTGGACACCACGAATCTTCATGAGAGCCTTCTTGGCCTCATCGGGACGGCCGCGCTTGACGAAGTAACGAGGGGAGTCGGGAAGGCAGGCAATACCACCACCGAGGATAAGACCCCAGGCGAATTGGATACCGATGGGGATGCGGTACTCGCCAGTGTCACCACGACCCTGGACGCCGTAGTTGACACAGGCGGCAAGCAGGAGACCAATGGTAATGCAGAACTGGTAACCGGAGACGAGCGCACCTCGGACCTTCTTGGGGCAAATCTCGGACATGTAGAGAATGACGATGGCAGACTCGAAACCGACACCAATACCGGCAATGGCACGACCAGCAACAAGGAGGTCACGGCCAGTGGCAGCCATTTGCAGAACAACTCCTAAGAGGGGGTTAGTGGCTGGTTTCATCACGTAATGCAAGCGGGGGAAATTCGTACCGATGATGTAGATGAGACATCCAAAAACGATGGTCCACTTGCGACCAATCATGTCGGAAAGGTCACCAGCGACGAGAGCACCGAAGAAAGTACCAGCGGAGAGAATAGAGACGATGAGCGAGGTGTTGCCAGAGCTGATCTTGCAGAGGCCATCAGGAGTGTCGAGACCCTGGGGGCAAATGGGGCCCTCGACCTCCTGGATGAACAGAGGCGAGTTGAGCACACCGTTGATGTATCCGGAATCATAACCTGAGTACGCGGTCAGCCCCTGTTATTGTGGAGATTGTGTTCTGTTGTTGTCTTACCGAAGAAGATACCACCAAAGGAGGCGAAGGCACAGAGGAGGTAGGCCTTCCATGTGACAGGGCACTCAGTCATGTTGACATCGGTGGTAGCTTGGATGCCCTTGGGGTTGGCGGCCTCGTCGGCCAGGTCGTTGTTGTGGCTCATGATGGGCAGTTGCGTGGGGGTTGTACGCTGAGTGAGTTGACGAAGCGCGTTGCTTGAAGCTGTGCAGGGTAGAACTCGCACGCGGCCTTGGACGAAGAATCGGAATCTGGGATGCGGGTGAGTTGAGGGTTAATAAACAGAGCTGGAGATTTGAGATCTAGTGCTCTGCGGAACAAGTGTACCGCAGAAATGGCTAGGTAACATTGCGGCGCAACTAGTAGGGGTCCGTGCTTCCCTGCTATTGGGTGCATTAGCCTGGAACCCAGTGAAGGGTGCGCGCCACCAACTCTCTGGGGAATGGTCGCCCGCGTTTTGCCTGCTCCAGCTTCTTCTCCAGGCCCGACTGGCCCGACTAACCTAGTAATTTGACAAGTGTCGGACCGGCATTTGCACCGGCTGTGATTTGACCTTGGCAGAGAGAGCACAGACGGTGTTTTTTTCCTGTCTAGAACGCTTCTAGGTTTTCAGAGCCGCACGTGAGGTGCTCCCCGACCAAGGGTTCCCACTTCACTAGACTCCACCATCGTGGCCCATGGAGTCTCTCGTGGCCCATGGAGTCGGCTAACGTGTGTCTGGAGCAGACTGGTAACGGCGCTAGCCCCCAATACCAGGTGCGCGGCGCCCTACACTCGGCTCACTCCGCCTCTTGCGCCTGCTTTGATTCATCACGATGATGCGCTGACGATGCGCCAATGGCACGGCCTGCGCTATACTTTTCACCACTACAGGCCTCTTTCCCCAGACGACAACATGTGGCTGAACGCTAATGCAACGGTGGTCATGATGAATGTGAACTGCTGACGCTTGTTGGCCATGGACGCCTAACGGCCAATACGCGACTTCGCTGGCCTTCGGAGCTCCTAATTAAGCGCGCAGTGTAGCACGAGTCACTCTCATTAGCCCAGCACCACCAACCCCAGCCTCCGCTCCTGTCCCGACGCTGGAAACGTCTAACCGGGGCCGCCCTTGATTAGTGCATGTGGTCACGATGCACGGTCAGGATGCGTGACCCAGGGACAGCGAGAGATCCAAATCCAGTCCCTTCGCTGCGGGAGCAAATGGTGGTAGCGATGATGGCGAGAGGGCTGTTGTTACCGAGGTGGTTCGTTCACGTGGGTCGCTCGGTGTTAATCACGCGGAGGTCTCCCCATGGTTTCGATCCGACGGCCCACAACCCTGATTGGCTGCACCCTGCACTAGTGGCTTACCCCGGCGAAGCTTGACGCGGAAAAGAATTCAGCCCCGACATAGCACGAATCGCCGACGAGAAAATCTTCAAGCTCGGCATCTGAGCTCTGAGGTACATGACAAAGCTCTATCGCGTACCCCGACATCCATCGTCCGCATGTTCTTCTCCACATTGTCGCCCAACGCACTGCTGCTGCTTCGCTACCATCTTTTCTCGCGACCCCGCTGAAATGTCACCACCCCACAACTCGTACCGACTATGCAAACTTTGTGCGACAGTGGTGGCCTCAGCCGCAGCTCTCCTTGTGCAGGACTTCATTGCTACACGAAACGCCCGTCAGACGCTGGGGTGCAATGCCTCAGTTCGTCATGATGCGCAGCTGTCATGTGCCAGCTGGCTTCTCCAGACCTCGGGACAGGAAATGGTCCCTGGGTCTTGAAAGTCCTCCAGCGTTTTGGTGGCATCCGTCAGGGAGCTTGAGTTGGGTCTCTCAATATGGTCGACATCATTCAGTCTGACCCCAGAAGCACTCGCTACGTTTCGTGGTGGCCTGAAGTAGTAGTTTGTCTCACAGGTAATTTCACCTCATCAGCGGTACCAGGTCGGTCTACAACCTGATGGTATACAAAACTGTCGTTCTTGGGACATATCGAAATCCACTTGCTTATCACCAGGACTGACTCTAGCTATCCGCGCATATGCACAACGAGGCTGTGGGATGCAGCAAGGCTGGCCAATGGCCGCAACCGAGGCGGGGTAGTTGCATCTTCCAGCCTTCCTCGACGGCCTCTTCACCATTACTCCTAACACGTCTCTTATCTACCTAGTGGAGCTCGCGCAAATTCGGTCCATGGCGTGGCACGACGCGACATGCGCAGCACTGAAGTTGGAGTGGGAAGATGGACGACCGGGATGTCTTGCCTGTCTTCGTAAAGCGCCCGCTTTATCGCCTGTACATCCAATCTCGCCGCCTGGACCTCCGCCAGATGTTCCACGCTCACAACTGGTGTGCACATGGCCGCCGCAACTCTTCTCCGATGATTGTTTTGTCGAGCCCCATACCGCTGGGAGAAGATTCCACTATGCATCGGATTCTGAAGAATTTTCGGACGACGATGCTTACAGCATTTTGAATCACAAATTTGCTGAAGGGGACCCAGCCCACATTAAGGACAAACTCTTTGCAGGCCCTGAAGACAAGAACGACCGCTTGAGCCTTGAACACAGTTTGGAACATGCGAAAGACACTGAACATGACGTAGGTGCTGAACATCAAGATGCAAAGATGCTAGCTTTCATCAGTGCGAACATCGACGAATGGACTAGCAGCGATACCACCCACCAGTCACAAACGTTGTTGGAATTATCTCACAAGGATGTAGAGCGACCGCACAATCCACCTGAAGCACATCCTTCTTTTCAGAACATATACCCTAGCCTCCCGAACGCCGACTCTGTTCGCCTCCTACGCCTGCACGGTACCGCAAATGAGAGCCATCCTATCCATTGTACCCTCCTTGTATATCGACTTTGCGATCCGTCTCGCCCGACCTTCGAGGCCTTTTCCTACACCTGGGCAGATTTACAAGGCGACTCATTACTATGCGAGACCATTTTCGTCGGCCCACAGTACGACATCCTACCTGTAACGAAGAATTGCCTGGCGGCGCTACGCTGCTTTAGAACCTCTGCGGATCGTCTTGTATGGGTCGACGCTATTTGTATCAACCAGTTCGACCTGAATGAGCGGGGTCATCAAGTCTCGCTTATGAGAGATGTTTACAAGTCTGCAGCCCGAGTGCTAACGTATCTGGGAAAGTGGAGCGAAGACCTTGGAGATGTCACGGAATTGCCACACTACAACGACAGGAGATCCGACCATCCTTCTGGAACTGCTTTCGCCGATGTAAGCAAGATACTTTGTTTGCCCTACTTCTCGCGCATCTGGGTCATTCAGGAAGTCCTGCTCGGTAACTCAGCTACCCTGAGTGTCGGCAAGCACACAATACATTGGAAGGACTTCCGGGATCTTGTGCAGAAATCCCTGTCAGGCCAACATAAGAAGCCAGCCTCGGCTCTGGTTGAGCACTTCGATAGCAAAGACGGCGAGATGAGCCTGCTATCATGGCTCAAAGCCACGAAGGACTCTCGGTGCGGTGATTTGCGCGATCGTGTATACGGCCTAATGGGCCTAATCAGCGAGGAAGATCGGGGAGATCTACCGGTAGATTACAGCATCAGTAAACAGGAGCTATACACCGGTTTGGCAATGTACTGGCTTACATATAATGACGATAACGGAGGATTGATACCTCAGGTATTGGACATGGCCTTATCTACCAATACCACTTCAGGCCTCCCTTCGTGGGCTCCCGACTGGGCACCGCAGTCACGTAAAGACATGAGCGGAAAATCCACTTCGGTGATGCCCTGGATACTACAACTAGATACCCAAAGCATAGAGGGCCTATCATCGGGGTTGAGGTGGCCCAGCTTGCCTGGGAGCATTCAAAAAATCATAGATCGTCGCGCCAAGGTCAGATGGACGCTAGACAAGACCGTTTGGGGGAAGCAGTATGACGACGGAAGGTCTCTCTCCTGGTACAGATTTGCCAGGGATGCAGGCTGGAAACCGTTGACATCAGTAGAACCCTTACCACTGGGAGGTATTATAGCGCTTGAAGCGTTTCACATACTTTCTGTTTCTATGAAGAGATTGGACATACCAGATGTCCAAGGGAAGCCACTGTACGGTCTACAACTCTTCCGTTCCGCACGTCTCGGACGAAAACAGCAAGACGATCCACGTGATGATATCCATCTATACGTATCGCTGGATTGGCAGAAAGGTTTGGCGTTGAGGAAGCACGCAGATGCAGTGTACAGCATTAGCAATCAGTTTCGAGTAGTTTGTGGCCCTGCACTGAATGATAATCGAAGCATCTCCGAATCCAGCATGAGTCTACATGGTTTACAAATAGGAATCGCTGGGAACTGGCTGTTGGATGTATTCTTCTTCGGTACTGGCGCTGGCTCCGCCAACTTCGATTTATCGCAAGGATCAGAGGCGAGGAAAGGCTGGTCGGATTATTTTCCTCGGGCATCAGCTGCTTGCAAAGTTCTCAACTTATCGTTTGGAACACATACTGGGGAAGACCACCAGTCTAGTATCACAGCGGCGATGAAAGAGATATGGCAAGATGCCAGGGATTCTGTTGACGAGATCATATGTCCTTGGGAGAGTCAGAGCAATTCCCAAAATTATCGTGAACGGTCTCAATTCCGTTACCACGTAACGGAGAAGAAAGATACATTTCTCACTTTTTGGATTCGGAAAGCTCATGCAGCCAAGCCAAACACGCCTACTTCGCCGAAAGAACTGTGTCTATACCTCAAGAGGATTGCGAGAGATTGCCGAGATTCTTGCAAGGATTACGCACCTCTACAACAGGCCCTATCTGATCTTGGAGACAGCGCGTGCGGGTTTGATCTGATTCAACACTCCTTCCCTTTTCGATTTGATCTATGGAATTTCCTGATGCCTGATCGAATAAGAATCGATGAGGAAAAGACAGTATGTTTGCCGATGGTTCCATTGACCATGAGCAACATCCTGTACACTGCGTGGGCACTTTTGCAGGGCCTCAAGATTGACTCCAGATTCACGCTCGAGCAGAACTTCAACATACTCTGGATTCTTGTCTTGACCATGGAGATGGTGGCACGTCTACGTGGGTGCTTACAACAACAGCTCATCTTGAAGGCTCTTCGCGACAAGATGAGGAACCCGCAAAAGATATACCTTATTTAGTCTGCAGTTTCTGGCCTGATCTTGCAGCTTTTGGCTGCTATGTCCACACGGCTTGCAGGGGTTTGGCAGGCATTGTAGTTCCCAGATAGAATTGCCCAGAAAAAGATGCCGTATGTACCATCGGTAATCCGATTCTGTATCAATCTAGTGTACAAACGTGTTTTGGGTGTTGTATGCAGTAACTGTCTCACGATCATGGAGCACTGCGATGAAGCTTCGAAAACTGTGTTCAGGAATACTGATTGTATTCCTCATCCAGCAACATCTACAAAAAAGCGCAGCACGGCTGCGCCTATCGAAAAAGTATATATATACAGAAAGTCGACCAGACCGTAAAGTCAAGCCTTTCATCGTTTCAATCCTCCAGATCATGCAAAACATATGCATCTTACTCCTTTCGGAGAAGAGCCTCGCGGAAAGCACGGCGACCACGCTTAGCCTTGCCACCCTTGCAGTTCTCAGAGTTGTGTGCAACAGCCTCGCTGCTAGCAGCAGGCTCCTCGGAGGAAGGTACGGGGGAAGCAGAGGGTGCGGGAGACTCCTCGGTGGTGGGCTCCTCAGTGGGGGTCTGAGCAGGAGACTGAGCACCGCCGCTGGTGCTGGCATCCCAGACAGCGGGGGCGGGGAAGGTGTAGTCCTTGTATCCACCCCAGATGCTGAAGTTGAACTCGGGGTCGGTCTTCTTGTACGCGCCGGGGAACTTGACGGTGGGGCCGGGGGTACCGCTGCCGCCGCCGGTGACCTTGACTTGAGCGCAGCTATCAAGTGTTAGCTAATGTCGTCGTAGCAGTAGTGAAGAGAAAACTTACGCGTAGTAGAACTCAGCCTGGCCATCGTGTGCACCGTGAAGACCAACGTGCTCAGAGCGGATCAAGTACTCGCCCTCTGGCACCTCAGCGGGGACAGTGAACTCAATCCTGTCGTTATCCCAAGTGCACCAAGCAGTACCCAGGATATCCTTGTTCTTGTCGCAGAGGCCAGACTCGAAGATCTTGAACCACTCGCCGTCACCCTCGTACTCCTTGACGGAGCTGGGAGCCTTGGACATGTAGACGAAAGCGGGACCGGGGTGCTTCATGGTAGCGCCGTAGGCAAGCTTCATGGCCATCTTGGTGCCGGCTGCGACCTCCTTGACGCCGGTCTTGCCAGCGCTAGCGAAAGAGCCCTTGTTGCAGCGGAAGTCGTCCATGTCGGGGGTCATGTTGTCGAGGGGGTTCTTCCACTTGGTGGGGTTGAACTTCTGGGCACGAGTGTTCTCACGGATGAACTCGTAGCCCTTGGACTCCTGGCCGTCGGTGACCAAGACATCGAAGGTGTAGTGGGCAGAGGCGATCTGCGCAATGGCAGCTGCGGCGATGATGGAAAGCTTCATGTTTGAGGTGGGTGGTGTTGGTTTGGTGTTTGGTAGTGGGTTGGAAGATGAAGAAACGATTGTATAGTAGGACTAGCCTGTAGAAACGAATGTAGTAGCGAAAGACTGAAGAGAAGCGAAAGACTGAAGAGAAGCGAAAGACTGAAGAGAAGCGAAAGACAGTGTGCAGAAGTGTGCTGATGAGCTCTCCATTGCCGTGGTGTTTTGCTTCTTATGTATCTGAGCATACATCCCAATCTGAGCGCCCCGACTAACCGCTTCTAGTGCTCAGAATCTGTCTCCCCACCTATCCCTTACCACCCCCTCATCACCGATGTTGGTTTGCACCGTGAAACAACGCCTCAGTGTTTCCTGTCATCGACGCATGAGGCCGAGATCTCTTGGCTGTGGTGCCATTTCCGCTGTGCCGCCCAGCTGTGGCGAAGCGAGATGACCATACGAAGGAATGGGAGCTGTCACTATAGTGTTTAGTCCGTAGCGCCCGCTTTCTCGATCCTGGGAACCGCGGTGGTGGGCCTGTGACCAAGACAAGTTTCAACCCATGATCTTGGCGGTCGGAAACTTGGCGGTCGGGGAGGTGCAGGTACCATACTCGACGGAACTTCGCTGCCGGTGCAGACAGTATACACTAATACACGGAAACCTGTGGGTAGACTCCGATATACAGTTAGTGCTACAATGACACTCCTGAAAGGTCTTCCTGTGCAGGAAATTTGCAAAACGCTGCTGCCATCAGGGTTGTGGTGTCTCTGCCGACTTCCAATCTCGGTGTGGAGTAGTCGTATCTCAGCGCATGAAAATTGCAGCTGACCTATTTCTCCGCCTCTTCAACATGAAACGAGCAATGACGGAAAGGGGGCACGGCGGATTGCACATGCTGAAGGAAGTGATGATCGGGCATCCAGACTACAATCCCACCCACGTATCGTATGAGTTCGGGTGAGCTGCTACCTACCATCTAGCGCTCGCTATGCTCGTATCCACTGTGCCAAAGATAGAGAACGCATACGGATCTCGGAGGTTAAGCGGCTGCCGATGTCTGGGTGATTGTCGAGGGGAGGCTCGATGGAAACCCACGAGTAGCGCCGGTCTACACCATTATATATAACGGTCGCAGTCAATTGAGCCTGTTGTTGCGCTTATTTGAGCTGTTAAGACTCAATTTACACGATGAAGGCGTGCATCCAGGTTGGTGGGCTCGCGAGATGGAGCACTCCTGAGTCAGTGGTCGTTCACTTCAACCTGCACTTTAGCCGGAAGCCTATCACGAAGAGCCCTTTTCCGATGTATCCACACTACAATCTCTGGTGGAGAGACAAGCTGTAGCGTGTTTCTGTTTCCGCCTATGGCTTGTTTCAAACATTGATGTTGTTGCGGAATGGTACCGAGTATGACCGCATGCAATCCTGTTGTTTCCTCGATGTCATGGTGGGGAAGCCTGCAAACGACGAAGGAAGGCGCCTCAAAAGGTTGGCAAGAAGCAACCCGCATAGGCTTGTATTGGCGCATAACTTGAAATGTCTCGTCGTCGGTCGGCGGCTCGAACTACCGAGAGCGTTGGGCTCTGCATAGTATACTGGATTAGGTCCGATGGGATTTCGCTCCACGATCCGATGCAGCAGAGGCATGCTTCCGCGACTAAGCCGAAGACGAGGGAGATCCACTGAAGTGCAGTAGCGGTGCGGCGTGATAATATTTTAGTATTCTTGGCATCGGTCCCTATTCTGGCTCCACGGTTCGGGAGTTCTGAAGGAAAGTCAGAAAGTTCTCGACTCGTGGCGCGAGGTCTTGGGTCAGCCGTTGAGTCAACCCGATTTTCTACCGACACCGTTGGCGCTAGCGTGTGAGCCTAATTCGACAGTGAATTCCTCGTGCTGGAACCATTGCTGTGAGCGTCTCTTTGTTGTTCAGCAATCGACGCGTTGCGACGAGATGGTGTTGTGGTAGTGGTCGTGTGTTCACGACCTCGCAAGATATCCCCGCATCGCCTGACCTGTCCTACGTCATCACTAGCAAATCATGTGGCATTGTTTCCCTGCATGTCTTTGATCCGCAATGCACAACAAACGCGTTTTGCAAACTTGATGCGTGTAAAAAAGTGTGAAAGAATCGTCTTGTCAGTTCATTATTCAATTCCCTCCTTCCTTTTGCACCGGTAGCATCGGTAGTCAGCTAGCCATCATGTCGGCAACCAACGAGCAACCAGTCGAAACACCAGTCAACAAACTCAACGCAAAGCAGCAGAACCGCATCCAGAAAAGACGACTAGCTCGCCAGCAACTCGCCACGCACTTCGCTCTTGTACGGAAGAACAGGCAAACACACGACTTTTCACAAGCGCCTCCCAATATCTATGTATGCCTACGCTACCCACGAGGGCCAGACGGCCGCTTCCTCCCCCGCGAACGCGTCATCACCAAAGCAATAGAAAGTCTCACAATCCAAGAGACGACAGAAAAGTCCGTAGGAAGTCTCGATGGGAAGCCAAAAACCTGGATGCCATGGGTACTCCCGACTCCCTCCAAAACACCAAAACCTTCCCGCCTTTGACTTCATCATGTACCCGGGAGGACTTCACAACCTCATCACCCTACCGTATGACCACCGCCAACCCACCGAATACCTCCCCGCCTCCTCATACCCTCACAAAACAAACCCGTCATGCTCCCTGTCAGCGTCTTCCTGCGCCCTGCCAATTGGATCGTCGACATAAACAACTTTGACTTCCCACATACTACTCGCATTCATACCGATCAAGATGCCTCCTCCTTTACTCCCCCTCTCCCATCTCTTAGTCTGCTTCACGTTCTCCGTATCGAGGAGTAAGACGGTGAAGATATGTTGTGCGTCTTCCTTCGCGGCAGCGCGGTCGACGTAGGAAGCGTGAAGCTTGGTTGTGGCTGCATATCCTTTTGGCTTGGAAGCGGTGAATTTTGAGGATAAGGAGGTAGTGGATGGGCGTTCGGCATGGGCGAGGGGGCCAACGGAGATGATGGTGTAGACGGGCGCGGGCAGGATATCGAAGACGTCTTTGTTGATTTCGCGATGTATCTTCAGGATAGTGTAGGAGCCGCGTTGACCTTCCACAATGAATGTGCAGAAGCCCATTTCCAAGAATTCTTCATCAACCTCCCTCTCTTCATCTTCGTCGTCTTCCGCAAACAGGAAATTGTTATTTGGCTTCTCTTTTATGAGGGCAAGCTTGTCAATTGCGTTGGGTGAGTTGCTGACGACGTCTTCGATTTGGGGGAGGAGGTGGCGGAATGCTTTGGCGGGGCCGATGATTTCGTGGGAATCGATGTGTGGTCGGATGATGCTGAGATACCAGATTGTGTTGGGTTTTACGTCGATGAAGTCGAGCTCGTCAACAGGCTTTTGGACTTTGGGAGTCGGGATCGGGGTGGTGGTGCTGAAGGGGAGGGTTTCTGCGTCGCCTTCGAAGTAGATATCCTTTGACATGGTGAGATGTGGAGTACTCGAGGACTTGTGATGTGGTCGGGTATCGTAACGTCGGTGCTGAATTGATGTCGTCGAGGACGGTACTTGAGAAGTTTATGAAGGTGAAGGGGATGGGCAATGTATGCGGGAAGAGCAAGCACGGGCGTTGTAGCCTGCGAGCGTTTGTTAGATGACGTAGTCGCTTGTGGTTTGCGGTATCGCGGTGAAGGTGGGACTGGCGCCGAGATCAGTCAGGCTACAGTATGGGGCGCCGACAGACCGTTACCAAAAGACCTGTATACCGCCACGGTGGTCGATGGCGTGCGATATCGCCCAGACAAGGCGGTATGTAGCCGCCAGCTCGCTCATCCGAAGTTGCAGAACGATGTCACAGCGGCAGTTCGGAGTGACTTCAGACGTTCGTACGATTGTGCATTGGTATCTCCTAGCAAAGTAAGACATTCCGACTCTTAGAATACAAAGTGTGCTTTTAGACTCAGTCCCTGAACGCCAGAGCGCCATACGCATGCAGAACGTGACATATGATTGTCACTCAGCCTTCCATATGACTACACCACCTAGTGTCTCTTCGCCCTCTTGTCCTTGCCAGGCCGTTTGCTCCCACCGCCACTGGGCTTGCCCTTCATCCTGCGAGCCGAGAAATCGCGTCCGTCTGCGCTGGATTCGGCGGTGTTACTCTTCGCATGACGCTTCTTGCCACCGAAACCGTACTTTGAATCCTTCTTCTGGCGCTTGTTGAAATCCTTGCCGCCAGCACCACCACGACCGCGGCGATCGGACTTGTCGTCATCAGCGGTGGCGGCGACGTCGAAGAGGTCTTCCTCGTGGGTAGCTGTGATGTCGGCTCCTTGTCGCTCTGCATGTTTGTCAGTATACTGCTAGTCAAGTCCTCAGATACAGGTGATACGTACTCCTCTTGAGAGTCTGGATCTTCTCAATGGTGTCCTTCTTCTCCTTGGCACGCTCCTGCAGCTTCGCGACCTGAACCTGCTTTCCGAACTTCTTCAAGTCTCTCTGTTTGCGTGCCTCAGCAGCGGCCTTCTTGCCTGCCGCGGCATCAATCAGCTTCTGCTTGATCTTGCCCATGTGCTCATCGCTCTTGACCATCTCCGCGAAGTAGTCGGCTGGTCGGGAGAATGACACACCCTCCTTCTTCAGCTTCTTCCGCGCATCCTTGACCGAGGATAGGCATTGCTTGTAAAAGGCGAGCTCACGGTTGAGGTCGTCCTCGACGTCGGCGATCTCGACAGGTTCGTCGGTGGTGACGGACTGGTATTCCGAGAAAGCGAGTTTCGAGTAAGGGAGTTGGATGCGGTTCAGGGCGGCGGTGAGGGCGGCGGTGTTGTTGATGGTAAGGCGCTGGTGGGGAATAATATCACCCTTGTCTTCTGACGCGATGGAATCCAGATCAGATAGCGCAATGTCATCCTCATCCTCGTCCTCGTCCTCGTCATCTTCCGCGTCCTCATCTTCCTCTGCGGCCTCTTCAGCCTGTATTTCCTCCTCGTCCGAGCTGATGTCGCTGTCGGTGTCGTTGAGGTGGTCAAGGTCTACCTGAAGTCCATTAGGCTCATCTTCGTCGTCGCTTGCGTCGTCGTCGTCATCTTCGCCCTCGGTCTCCCATTCAGGCTCCTTGACTGCTGGTGCGGCCTTTGCAGGTTTTGCGTCGGCCTTCTTGTCCTTCTTCGACTTCTTTGTCTTGCCATTGACCTTGACCTCTACCTCGTCCAACGGCACAGGCACGCCGCCTTCCTCAGTATCCTCCTCGCCCTCCTCCGCGGCCTTCGTGGCTTCGCGCTTTTCCTTGCGCTTCAGCGCCTGCTTGACGTACTTCTTCTGCTTCTCGCGCTTGATGTCGCGGCCCTGGTAGTTGTCGAGCGCTGACTTGAGCACACCTTTCTTCGCCATGTCGTCTGAGGTTTGAGGGGGTTCTGAAGGGTGTGGAGTATCGGACGTCGCAAAAGACAAGACGTCAAAGCTTCTCAGAAAATAATTCGTGAACTTCGAAGTCTGGGCGCAGAAACATTTTAGCGCGCACGCTAGCTTGACCGCCTACCAAACGGGCAGGAAGCCGCGGCGAAGACCACGTGCTCCGCGACTTTACATATCCACCGTACATGCGCATCTCTCCTGTCATACTATAGTACAAAAGTTGACAGGCGTCTGGTGGGCTGCTTCAATCGTCTTGAATCTGCAAACTCTTCGTCTTGTTCTTTGCTTTCCTCACAAACACATTCGAACATGGCCACACCGCAGCCACTAGCAGACCGCGCGCAAAGCGACACTGCGGTACGTGCTTGTTACACTCACGATGCCCCGCCCTACCTAACACGCGCATAGTCTGCTGTCTCAAAAGATGCTGAGAGCTCTGGAGAGCTCACAGCAGTTGTCGACGACCTTCTAAACCAACTCAACACCAAGTTCACAACAGTCAGCAGCGAGCTGCTTGCCAAAAGTAAGTAGGAGCCTGTCTATAGCAGGTACATCGAATGCTCATAATGCGTAGTGGATGACATGTCACGGCGACTTGATAACCTCGAAGCAACGATCCAGGCCGGAGATGGTACCAAGGGCTCAGGGTCTGGCAAGTAGAGTTACGCGGAAGGCATGGTCAAAAGCAGGCGGTGTACATCACGCATATCTCAGTCATTGGCGTTTGGTGTTAAATTACATAGATCATATGCAATCTGGGTATTGACTTTTGGTTTCTACTACTTGTTCTGCTTTCTCATTGTCATGGTCACGTATGCCTGTCGCTCCTGCGTCAGGCCTCTTTGCGCCCCCCAGCTTGTCGTATCATCTCAAGAGTGTTGGTATGAATATCCATATCCTGGAATCTCATTTCACGTGCGAGTCGTCTACAACTCAGACTTCTCCTCCTCAGCATCACCCATGAACTTCCTCAGAATGTTGCTCCTGCTCATCAAGTCATCCATCTTCTCGGGTGCCAGGTTGCCCTTGGCAATAAGTCCCTGCAGACGCTTGAGCTCCTTCGCAGCGTACTCCTGGTTGGCACCGATCTTGTTGAAGACCTTGACGTAGTATTCCGCGTACTTGTCCTGCAGAGTACCGGCAAGGGTCTTGGCCTCCTCAGCACCACCAGTCCATGAGCCCTGGAACTTCTCAATGAGGGTGTTAAAGGCCTCAATGGTGCCACCAGTGGCGTCGAGACCACCACCTACAGCACGGTGGGTACCGGCGTTTGCGTTGATGAAGTCGATGAAGTCCTTCTCGGCGCGGGCGCCGTTGTAGGGGAGGGGCTCGGTGGAGCCCTTGGGGAAGTATTTGATGGTCGGGTAGGATGACACACCTTGCTCCTGTGCGAGGGCCTTGGAGTTCTCAGCTTCAGCGTCGACCTTGGCGATCAAGACACCGGGCTCGGTAACGAAGTCGTTGGCGAGGGTCTCCCAGACGGGGGCGAGAGTCTTGCAGTCTGCCCAGATATTAGCTATGATCAGTCGATAGAGGGGACGCTAGGAAGACATACGTCCGCACCATGGCGCAGTGAAGGCAACAAGCACATCCTGATCCTTTCCAACCTTCTCCTTGAAGGTCTTGTCGTCCAAATAGACAACCTGGCTAGGCAGCTTGCCCTTGACCTTAGGCTTGACCGAGCTCTTCTCTGTGATGAACTTGCTCAAGCTCTCGAGGTCACGTCCGCCGCTGTAATCCGTAGGCTTGTCACTCTTTCCGTCGAACCACTTGAGGGTAGGGAAGCCTGAGACACCGAAACGCTTGCCCAGCGCCTTGTGGGCATCAGCATCGACCTTTGCGACGCTGACCTTGTCTCCAGCGTGCTGGAAGACGCCAGCGAGCTCATCGTAAACGGGGGCGAGGTTCTTGCAGTGGCCGCACCAGGGAGCGAAGAACTCTACGAGGGCGGGCTTGCCGGACTTAAGAACGACATCGTCGAAGTTGGAGGGTGTGAGGTCGATGACGGCGGATGCAGAGGCAATTGCGGGGAGCAGCGCAATGGCCGCGGGTATTAAATTGCGGAAAAGCATCTTGAATATGTGTGAAGCCCAAGGATAGATTGAGGCTCCAAATGTGTGTTGAAGAGCGGTGGGAAATCTGGTGGGGAGCTAGAGCAGCACAGCGGCTATCAGGGTCCCGCGGTGGCGATCGCTAGTCTGAAAGGTGTCCTTACGCGTCTGAACGTTACAAATCCAATATCAACCCGACGGATGACGTACACTTGATTATTTATGCATACTGATCACGCTGTAAATCTCATAGGTAATGATTGAGATCAAAATATTTGCTATAATTCCTGGGTATCACAAATCCATCGTCCTCCTCTGCATGTGATGATGATCTACTACAGCCCTCATATCTAATGCAACGACATCTTCCAATTGTTGCCCCCAGTCATCCCATAACTCCCACTAACAGTCTTCTCCTCCCCAACCTCCTTTTCTTCCTTGACCTCTGGCTTGACCTCAGGCTTCTTCGCCTCCACCTTCTCCTCCTTAACTTTTCGCACCTCCCCAGCGACCTTCTCCACGGCGGCCTTCAGCGCCCTCACATCCGCGCCCCTGATCTCCTCGATTTTCTTCCCGTCCTTGAAGACCATGAACGTAGGCATAGCAGTGACACCATATTGTCCCGCAATCTCTCTCTGCTCATCCACATTGACTTTTACGAATGCGAATTTCCCCGGTGAGGAATGGGCTGTGGAAAGCTGGTTGTAGATGGGCGCAATTTGCTTGCAGGGTGGGCACCATGTTGCGTAGAAGTCGGCGATGAGATAGGTGTGGCCATTGAGAAGGGTGCGGAAGTGCAACGGCGCTGATATTTCTGTTGGCATGGTTGAGGGTTGTATTGCTGGTCCAGGCAGCTTGCCAAGGCTGTGTGTAGAGCTGGTTTGCGTGTCGTGTTTTGCTGAGTGGGTTGTCTGAAGACGGCTGTAGTGTACTGAAGCTGTCGTTAGACTCAGGCTACACTTTTGTATTCTCTCGATTGCGATGGCGCGACCTTGTGGAATGTTCTTTCCAATCGATCCGTGGATGCGCCATACTACGAATGGTCTGGCCAATCAGCATTTGTCATCAGTTTCATGATCACGTGTCGGTGCACTTGCTGCATCTGGTAGTCGGTGATAGCATTTCTACGAGGGAGAGGCTTCACATCGTGGCGCAGTGTACAGATGTGCCTTCCCCACCAGGTTCACCAGTCATACGAGTTGGGAGGTCTGTTCTAGACTGATGGATGGTCTCATGGAGATTGATACGGCTGTGCAATGATATACATGCTGACTGGTAGTAACCTTGAATTCCAGAAAGTCCACAACGCCTCGCTATGCCATCATGAGCAGTGAAACCCAGCTGCTCTTCAAAAATTGAACAACCGTTCAAAAGCTCAACCCCCACCCCTGCCCAGTATCTCCTCCCTCTCCAATACCTCAGGCTTGAACTTGATCAGAAAGACAGTCTTTCCCGGCCAGAGGCCCTTGCCTTCCTCATCGCCCACACTATGCGCTGTCACGCCCTCGGTCGGAAACCCCGCACCGTCGCAAACACCCTCAATTATACCCGCTACAAAAGCCGCACAGTTCAGACTCGATAGTTCTTTGGGCAGACTTATATATTGGTTGACCATGGGGTCGTTGTCAAAGAGCATGTACTGTCCTGGGTCGGTGCCAGACTTTTCTAATGCATCGGCAGGTCGACCGAATAGGTAGCGGTATAGTTGTTGTGCAATGAATTGGAGGAGAGGCAGGATACGCGTAGGTCGGATGCTCGCGAGGGGGTTCGCGGTGCGGGAGAGGAGCAGGTCGAGTAGGCGGAGGCCAATTGGGTAGCCTTGTGTATTCAGCCTAGAGGAATGTCAGGACACGCTCGGCAGCAAGTCGATTGCAATATTTCGCAGTGCATATGCGGAGTTCCGCAACTGCATGTATCCAACATACCTCTGCTCCAAGTCCCCCACATCCTTCGCGCCCTTCTGCGCATACGCAATCATCTCAATGAAGAGGTACGCAAACGCCGCCCTGCTAAGCTCCGCATTCTTGCTCCGATTCAGGTTCCTGTCATATATGCTCTTTTTATTCGACGGGTACCGCAGCCCAGGCCCTTGACTTGGGGTCCCGCTCATTGCGATGTGCTGCCCTTGTGGTTGCGATTGTGTGACGGATTGCGGACGGATCGTGGCTGCAGAGGAGGATGTCGATGGCTTTTGCGCGGTATCTACGGATCGGGAGAGGGACGACTGGCGCGAGGGGTAGTACGAATGGTGTAGGGGCAGGATGTTGGACATGGTCGCTATCGAACCCTGGCGGTGTTGTTTGGCGGAGTGATGTGGGTCGGAGGGTCGTGCGTCGTGCGTCAGACTTGCCGCGAGTCGAGTATGCTAGGGATCATCTCTGGTGCTTAGCTAACGCACGACTTTCGCACTACAACAATTCTCAGGACTCTCAACCACTTTTACTCAACAAACTTAGTAGTGCATTCTGTTTGCTTCACCGGACTGGGAAGCTCAGCGCCTGCAGACGAAAAGGAGGAGTGAAGTCAATCATAGATCACGAGTTGGGAAAGCGAGCTGTGTGCGAGGCCGTGGACCTTACGGCAGATTCTTTGATAGCGTGTTGTTCAATACTACGTATCAGGTAGGAGACCAGACCCAGGAACCCGGAAGAAGCCACTATCTCCGACACCTACATCTCTCCGTTGTGTCTCGCTTCAGCATGACGACAAACCGCCTGAACAGCGCGCTTGGAACGCCGACCATCGTGCTCAGCAGCAGTTTCCATGTAACCATCAGGCATCTCAATCATGTCTCCGTAGAGCTTCTCAAGTTTCTTCTTCTCGTCATCCACACCTTCCGAGCCGACTACTTTGCGTACCTCACCCGTAGATGCCTTCTTCCAGTCCTTGTACCATTCTTCGAACCTCTCCGTCAGGTGCGTTTGGTGCCACTGAAGAACTCTCATCGTAGGTTGTACATCGGTGTGGCGGATATGGAATTGGATGGGAATGACCGCAGTGGTGTTGTTCGGGTCCGCAGCCGCATCGCGCATGTGAGGCGCACCAGACTGCTCGACCTCAAGCTCCGCGCGCAGGTCGCCGTTGAGCTTTCTCTGTTGCTGTAGTGCAGCCAAAGCATCACCGCGTTCTTTCTTCATCCTGCGTTCAGAGACGAGGTGGCGCTGCTTGTCACCCTGAGCATCTTTGGCTTTCTCTTCCTCCTTTCCCGCCACTTCCTTAGCATTCTTGACTTTCTTGTTGGCACCCTTCAGTTTTCGCGTCTTGCCATCATTCTGATTGCCCAGGTTGACATTTTCGTATTCGATAGTTCTGAGCGTGTCTTTCAGCTGCGTGTTCTCGGATCGCAGACGCGTGACCTCGATTTCGAGGCGGTTGACACGGCGTACGGTGTCGGTCGGAAGATCAAGTCCGGTGGCGATCTTGGCAGTCTTTCGGTCCAGATCTTCGATGGTCTTGCCTCGCTCCTCAGCTTGCGCTTTCCAGTAGTCGCTCTCTTGGCTCAGGGAGGCGACCATGGCTCTCAGACGGGCTTCTTCTCCATGTTTCGCTTCTTGCTCCTCATCGACTGCATTCTCCTGCCAGAGGCCTCCTGCGGACTCTACAATAGACGCTTTGGGTACCGACAGACTAAGCGTCAAAGTCTTGGGACGCAAGTCGTCAGAGTCGTGGAAGAGTGCGTCAAGATTGAAGCTCATCTGCAAATGATCAGTATAAACGCATGTTCAGCAGTTCTTCGACATACCTTGAATCGTACCGAGGTGGCTACGTTATCTTGACAGGAATAAAGCGATGGTGCGAAGTTGCAACGTAGTCGCCAAGTCAAGCATCTAGACCCTGGTGAAGTGAGAGCCAAACGAGACGAAACGGGAAGGCGCGCTGATCACCGCTTCACCGTGAGGCATCCTCTGGCATCCGATCACTCAAGTCTTGATTGCTCTATAACAGCTGCGAGGTCTCTCACCCGAAACGGCTTCGGAACCGCGTCGTCCATTCCTGTCTCTCGCGCGCGCTTCAGTTGCTCAGGTCTTGCATTTGCGGTAACAGCAATGATGTGCAAGTGCTTATCGATTGACCCGTCTTCCTGCACGGCGCGAATCATAGCCGCGCACTCAAGCCCATTGACCATGGGCATCTCGATATCCATTAGTATGACGTCGATGCGTGGCTCGTCAATACGTGGCTGCGATGAGGTCGAACCTTTCCAGTGCTCCGTAGTTTTGATGGAGTCAAAAGTTTCTTGTCCGTTGTCGGCTGTGTAAACGATATACCCCTGAAGTTGTAGCTGTTTCTTGAGCACCCGTTGATTCACCATGTTGTCCTGGATGCTTTGGTATAGAAAGCGAATGTAGACCTGATATGTTGCTGGGACTGGAAGCCAATCTCGCCACCCATTAAGGCCACCAGTTTCTTGCTGATGGATAACCCCAGCCCAGAACCACCGTATTTACTACATATCTTTGGTCTATTCTGAGTGAACTGGCTGAAGACGCGCGCTTTGGTCGATTTATCCATTCCGCACCCTGTATCTTCGACCTTGAACCACAAAAAGATGGACCCTTCCTCCAGCTCTGATTGGTCCACTGATCTAGTCTTTTGCACTGCTTTGATGAGACTGTCAAAGATGGCAGTAGGTGGCCATTATGCTACTCCAATACGAACGGTGACAGCTCTTTCGTCGGATCTATCTTTGGCGAATTTGATCGCGTTGGCGACCATGTTGGACATCATTTCGTGGGAGAAGTCACGATGGAGCGTCTTGATCCATGCTTGATAGGGGCGATCTTAAGCCGTAAGAGGTGCCAGACCGACGATTAAGGCAGCATGAACATTGGCAGTCCGGTTCGAAACACTTGGTAGCAGGACAGCCTGGTGGCAGACATCGCCATAGCACCGGCTCGTGGATGCCTCACACATTTCCTGGGGGGGGGGGGGGGGGGGGGGGGGGGGGGGGGGGGGGTGTACCGTCCTCAGCCTGAAGAAGCACCGGTGTACGAGTATTGACACTCTTGTAGAAGGCTTCAACCCATTCCTGATCCATGCTTGGCTCGAGATTTGAAGGACGCGCAGTCGGGAAGGAACCAACAGTACCAGAGAGAACGAAGGTCGGTGAACTAGCCTGCTCCTCAGAAGAACCAGTCTCTTTTCCATATTCTTCATTCGTGTCTGCGCGGTATGACGCGGCGAACGATAAGTCTACGTCTCCATTGGATATGCCTTTCAAGACTGAGGGCCACAGCGTATCGAAATCCAAGGCAATCTCGCAAGCACTGCGAAATTTGTCCAAAGAATGCTCACGACGAGATTTCCAGCACATCTCGGGCGACGTACATCATAGAACCCGCCGATAAGCTGCCAATCCTGCAATATTGTAGAAAGCTCACTATCCGTGTGAACTTGAAAGATCTTGTTCGGAACAGGTTCGCAATGTGATAAAATTTGCCTGCTTGTACTGAATTGGCTTGCTGGCCACGAGAATCGTAAATTCGATCACTAGCTGCCGTCCGAGTCAGTTCGGCATGTGAGCCACTCCAATAATATGCAGACTCCAGAAAGATGAAGATGAACAGCCACGTACAAAGCGATTACCGCGGGGCTGCTAATGTGATGTTCTATATATATGCGAAACTGTCTATCTGTTTGGAATTCTCAGCCGGCTAAATCCGACGCCCGCGGTGTCAACGCCGATCCCAGCGCTCTATTTGGTAGTAAGTTCACTAGAATGACGCTGCAAAAAGTGTGTAACCCAGCTGTGGGAAATCTCCCACTTCGCAACCGCGCTGGCGAAATCATGCAGCATCTGCCGTGTAGGCGGCAAGCCGCGCCTTGTGCATCATTCTATGTATTGTACGAGTTCCTGCTCTTGTTATAGGTTGATATGGCGCTGCGCTTCTCCAGGGGCTGCATTTGTGGCTTGCTTCCGTTGATGCCCCCACAACAGCGTTGTTGGGTCAACGTTGAATCTTTTCGCGACTTCGCAACACGAGAATTCATCTCCTAGTTCACGCGATTTGATACTTTCTATCGCTTCTTAAATCAGATTCAAAGTGGTAGAGTTTTGACGCGCTGAAATCAGGACGTGTGTGGAGTGGGTATGTTCAGGTGGCTCGGATACCGGTATGGCCGGGATGCTACGCTAACATTGTACAAGCGGCAGCGGCTTGATAGACCCCCCGCGGCGAACTTAAGTGTTCTACTATTACCGTCAAGATGCTTCACACCACGCCCTGATACGCGATACAATCTATCTCCACCGCCCTCTAGCACCTTTACTTCGCAAGATACTCGGGGGACATTGAGTCAACAATTCGACATATTATCTTGTACAGCCAGCCACCGCCTGGGTCGATGATGGCGATGCAGTTTCGGCGCCGTTAGAGCGCCCGCAATGACAGCAGCCAGCAACTGTCTAGCAGCAGCGGTGCGGCTTCAATAGTCATTTCTTCGTGGTGTGATATCAGGCTGGGCAACGTCAAAATAGATAGATAGGGGGAGCGCTGTTCTTCAGCTTTCGCTTGCAGCATTTCGCGACCTTGTTATCAACCGCTTAGCGGCGTTGTCTCGCCTCTACGTGCCTACCTATTCAGGAACAGCGTGTTTCATCACAGATTAAGGTGTTCTGCAACCGATCCTGTGCGGCATGGTAGTTGGCATTACACAGCTCGCAAGTTTTCAGCTTCTAACCCCCTTTATCCCATACGATTTCATGAACATACTGTATGCTCTGGCTAGTGGCAAATTGTTTTGCAAATTGTTTCTCTGTGTACCAAATCGACCTCAAGACATCGCCACTAGCAATACTAATGCATAGTCAAAGGTAAGCTGGCGAATCCGCACGACTAGTCAACGTCCGAGCTCACAAACTTAGACACCACACGCCAGGGACCAACCTGATTGAAGACGCCGTTGAAACCGTCTTAAGCGATAGTAGCGAACAACCACAAATTTCGAAGAGTCAGCACTTCCTCCGATACTGGAAGTTGCAATTTCTTGCCCCAATCAAGTCATGGAGATTCCCCGCGGAATGTCGCAAGACTGCGATGTACCAGAGTCGCTGGTTAGCCACTGGTCATGCCTTACTACATTTGATTCCCTTAAGCAGCGCAGTCGCGGTTTTAATACTCAACTGGAGTGAACATTTCGTGGGACCTTCTTTCACGTTCTCTACTACGCTACAGTTTGTCGCCAAATTACAAGAGCTTCTGATGCAGGCCTCCCTTGCTGAGATCGTCTTAAGCATTGTTCGTTCACAGATGATGGAAGGATATCTGCCCTTAGGTTGCTCTGTCAGTATCTACACAGGCGATGCACCTATCTTACCTCTGGTCGCTCGATTTACTGGCTGCAGTGACATCCCAGTCTTTCCGCGGGCGGCGGAAAGCGCTATTCGTTTGTCTAGTTCCTCTATTAGTCCTTTTGACAGCCCTCGTTGGGCCGTCGAGCGCTGTTTTGTATTATTCCAAGGGCAGGAATGTCAAGCAGACCAAGTGTTATACATTGGCGATCCAAGAGCGACGAAGACACCATGTTCCCTTCTCGACTAGACAAGACGCAGAACTTGACATTGTAAGCCAAACAAACCGGCAACGTATTGTGACCATCGTTGACAGGGTATAGCAACTTAGATCGGTTTTCCACAACTTACTCATTCGAGGAAACAGTTCAGACAGAGTTCACCAACACTCAAGTCTATTACAATGGAAACGACACGATGGTACAATTGACCTCACGAGCTTTGCACTATATCATGACCGAGAACGAGGGTGTCAAGCCGCCATGGCGATTTCCTCGTTAGCTCCGCAAAACGTCACTATCCCAACCCAGCTCAGTGCACAGGTTTTACATCAGATCCCTCTTGCACAAAACGGTGGTACTTGGATTTCTGGGATTTATTACACAAGAACCGCCAGATTACCACGTGTTTCAGTCACAGCGCATGCTTAACTGCATACAACACACGATACACTACAGTGGATATGCCAGTAGCCCTACTCTCTGGATGGTGGTACTTCTATCGGCAATTGTTTCTAGTCTAAAGAACCTAATTCAGTATTTTCTCGACTATGGTGGCTCTCAAGACACACCAGTCAACGTCATACCACCCGTCTGGGTTGCTTCGCCTGAACCTGGTTCTTCTTCAGTTGTTGGCACCTTCATTCAGAGCAATTGCGCTGGCCTGGAGCAATACATGATTTCGGATTTACTGCTCAACAAATTCAATCAATCTGTGCTGTTGTCCAGTTCTTGTTTATCTACAAAGACTTGTACAGTAGCCGCTTTCTGGGAGCCGTCTCAACACGAACTGGCAGCAGACAGTGGTTCTTGGGTGGTCCGCACAGGCTCGCTCTCGAACTCCGGGCATGGCTTACCCAAAACTACGCGGCCGATTTCCGCTGATTTCGGCAGCATCACTGGCTTGAGCAACCCGTCATTTGGCGCCATGTTATCCAAAGGTTCACAAAGTGACAGCACCAGACTAGCCGCCGCGTTAGCTACCGTCTTTTCCGAGATTCCTTGGAAAGAGCAAATACAAAGCGCATCTGGGCATGAGCCGTATACGGTATTCGAAATCGTCTTAACGCGTCTTGGCTACGGATACGAGATGTCGTCTACACCTACACGCTTATCGCTAGCCGTTGTCATGGCATACTGCATGTTCGCTGTCGGATACATAACATACATGCTCAGTAGCGGCCACACATCCACGGCATGGAGTTCGGCAACTGAGATCATTGTTCTTGCGATGCAGTCAAAGCGCAGCGAGCATTTGCGCCATGTTTCGGCTGGCATCAACTCCATAGAAACGTACTCAGGAGCCTGTTGGGATACGAGTCAATGATCACAATCACTTAGAATTGGTATTCAAGCATGATGAAAGTAATCGGTTGCGGGAACTAAGAAGGGTCAGGTTGAACAAGGCATATTAATCTGCAAATGTCCTAGGTACTGTAAAGAAGGAACGTATATTAAAGCTGTAGAGTGCTGTCACACAGCTAAGTGCGGCTGTTGTTAATGGGATTCAGGAGAGACTGCATAGAAATTCAATAATGACGTATCTGCCAGCTTTACCCATCGGCATTCTCTATATATATAACTTATTTCAACGTTACAAGACTTCATTTTAGAAGCAATCAGCAGCGTCGGAGCATACGATCCCTGCCTAGTGCCTCGCCTCATTAAACCTCTCAGCTACAGTCGTCCTTATCTAAGTCTCACTGAATAAACCTCAGCTTCTGCATGTACACTATGTAGCCTCAATGCCCGAGAAAAGTAAGAGATAGAAGGCCGCTCTTGTCGCATAGCGCAGTCGCGTCTTTTGTTGCAGTCTCTCCTAACTTCTCTCACTGGTCTTCACCAGCGCTCTGAACTCTTGTCCCTAGGATATCTTGTTGCGTCTTTCTTACCTTACGCGTTTTAGCAAACACCTGCGTTATATATAACAATGGGTCTCTCGGCGTTCTATGCTAAACACCAAGTCATTGTGTACAAGTCATGCGTTCGCGCTGTTGCGCCTCTGCAATTGTCAGCCATATCAGGAACCTACACGCTCATGAGGCGTGTCGCGACGCAGGCCTTGACTTGGCCAAGTTTTGGCGTATTCAAAGCAGCTAACGTTATTGCTAAATGCCTAAAAGAGAGATACAGCCTGCTTGAATCACACAGCGTTGTTAGTAATAAAGTTCATGTTCCCGACAGCGCTTGGCCTGCAGGATGAACAGAATGACTGCGCTTTAACCTTGCGTAGATGATGTCTACCAGGCTTATGGAGGAAACACGTTCATGCTGGACTCTTATGGTATGCCGACGGATCGCTCATTCTCATGCGATCGGGTTGCCGCTATCTCTAGCCCAACCTTCTTGGTCATGGGCTTCTCTGGATGGCCCAATAAATATGATCTTCAGCCGCGAATCAAGGACGGTTGCCACTCAACTTGCAGCCACGGTGCTTCAATACCGGCCTAAGCTCCAGCGAGCCGTTGTAACCGGTTGCAAATACTGAGGATGGCGTCTTGGTGCTCGAGGCTATTGCCTCAACGTCGTCTGCCGCTCAAGCTCAGACGGAAGCGCGCCCTATAGCGACCCTTACCTTCGCATGGTGATCGATATCTTCGACGAGCGTGGCATCTGCATTGGCACAGGCTATCATGATCGCATCCCAGAAAGCTGTATTACCCAATGCATGGCTCTGATCGTAACAACAGAGAGTGCACGCAACCTTCAGTAGCACTCCATTACTTACTTCCTACTGGTTGTTGAGTCGCACCGCTTTGCAGAGATCTGCTACGAGCGTATAGGTATCGGGCAGACGGTCGATAAGACTTACGGACATGTACTGGACACATTGGACATCAAGCCTGAGCAGAAGAGGAAGGTTATGCTTGTCTAATTACATATTCTCAGTATGTCTTTACTTCCTCGTCTTTCCTGATACTTACGAAAGTATTTATTCGACGTCTTCATTTGAATCCACCCTGCATATACTCTTCCTCTCACCAATAACCCACCGATCAAACAACATACCATCAATCTTCGGCCCAGGGTGAACATCCAACATCTCATAAAACATCTCATACCCTCTTGGCCTCTCCTCTTTCTCCCACTTTTCAAGGAGCGCAAATTCATGTAAGCGGGGAATTAGTCTGTATTTATTCTCGCGTAGACGGTACCTCAGTACCACCTCTCCAAGATCTGCGATACCCCCAAGCGACGCAAGAAGGTCCTCGTAGTGCCTGAAATGACCAGTATCACCGGACCGAGACCACATGTGTATCATCGATAACGATATTTCGGATCGAAGCGAGGCGTTGCGGAAGGATTGTCGACGTAAAGATCGACAGTACCTTGTAACCTTCGAATTTGAACGTGTTCTGAGAGTAGAGGAGCGGAATGGCCTCGCGGTACCTGTGCCTATTGTAAGTCGCCTGCTCAATAACACTGCCAAGAAGCGAGGAGGAAACAGACATTTTCTTGCAAGTTCTCAGCATCTTGGTGTTGCAACCCGACGCCGCCTTTATCCCAACAGTCCCAATATTTGTAGCAATCATAGCTTAACCCCACCTCTTCCTGTTCACAGAGCACCATCTAAATCTTCAACCTCAACTCGCGGGCAGTTTAGCAAGGAACGGACTCTGCGATTGATCTTCCGCATTCTTCCTCCATAGCCCCCGGGTCCTATCAACCGAAACACTGCGCTTTCTTTTCTTCAAACGACGCACGCGTCTCCGATATTCGATGTTAGCCAAGGCATGCTGTCTTCTAGGCGGAGCGGGAGGCCCTGGGCACTTATGGAAGGTGATGGGTCCTATGTATCTGATCCAATAACACAGACCAAAGAGAGGGCAAGTGACGAGTTTACAGCAGAAGCGCAGGGTGGAGTTGGTGTGCCATGTATATAGTATGGCATCTTTGATGGGTTCAAAAATTGGCATCGTGTTGTCTGATTGTTGTATATGTTGAGATTGGAGGATGTCGGCTGAAGATATGTGTTGTGGGTGGCCTTGTTTAATCTTGCAAAGGAGGCGCAGTTGGTGGGGGCCCGTCCCTGCCTTGGCTCCGTCAGGGCGACCGTATCCCTGGCGGTGAACACAAATCCTATCTTCCTCCAGGTCATGCCTAGTGTATGCTCAACTTTGGCCTGTTTACTAGTC